CTCTTTCTTCTAAGTCTTTTACTATAGTAACACTGTCTGTGTTCATGCCAGCAACCCTCAGATCATGATAACCTTTTTGGACTGTAGAAATTAATCATTCCTAGTGCGTGTGCACACATTCTGATGATGCTGCATTATTGGAAGACCTTTGTGATTGCATATTGCTCACACAGCAAAGCTGTCAGGGGCTTGGTGCTCTTACAGACCTTCTCCTGAGCTCTCCAGTCCATTACTGACCCACACAAATAGTATCACAGGGCTGCCCCAGAGTGTGATGGACACAAAAGCAAACCGGAGAGTCTCAACAAGGACATGTCTTAAGCTCTATGGGAAGACATATCTTTGAAAATATACCATTATGTTTTCAAACCATTATGATTACACCAGTATGTCATTAACATTATTAATAGTAACTTCGAAGTCACCAGAATCTTGCCAGATTCATAATCAGACAACATACTGTGCACAACATGGCATATGTCAAAGGGGGAAGTACAAATTAGGTAAATTTATCTCCATTGCTCATGAGATGAGCTTTAGGTGTGTGATTTGGCAATACAAACATGATGACTAAAATCATGCTACTGAACTGCAGCAAACACTGTCCTGTCTTGACATAAACAAATAAAATCCAATGAGGCTGTGCACATAAGGCAGCTTGAGCACACTGGAGGGCATATTTTCACCATTGTTCCACGAAGATATTAAATAATGCTTATTTAATAAATGCTTTATGTGTGAGTTACAGGAGAATCAGCGTTCACAATGAGGGATTCAGCAGAGCTGCATGGTTCAGGCAGCTTTTTCCTCAATCAAAAACCTTGAAGCTGGTATCAAAGATATGTTTTCTGTCTATCATCTCAGGTGGCTTTGGAGTATGGATTACCTGGAAGTAACTCACAAGTAAAGCTGAATTTGATAGACCATGTTGTGTTTCACCTACTTATCTCTGTAATTGTTTTAACAATGCAGTGGCTCAACAGGAGATTCCCTGGTAGTCTTTACCCTCTGGATAGCCATATTTCAGCCAAGTAGTTTGGAGTAGTTTTCTTGTTCTAGCCCAGATGGTCTTGCATGCTGTGTTAAAGCATATGTTGCCCTGAAGGTAAAACGACCTATATGATAATTGAAATGAACTTGAAATAGGGTGCAAAGCATAGAAAAGGGAGAAGTAGGTTTGATGTCATTGTTTTTCAGTAATTAATCACACTAGGAAGCTCAAAACAAGAAAGAAATTAGTGGTTAGGTCCACACTATCTGTTGAGAAGTGCAAGCACTAACTCACCAACCTATACCATGAGTTTTCAAGCGTGGCTATCAGGGCAGGCAGAGCCTCAAAAGTCCATGGGACCGATGCATACAAATGCAGTTGACGATGGTACGTCATGAATCATGTTTGCAGAAGCTGTCCCACAAGGCACCAGAGCTTACAGGGCAGACAGAAGACGGTACACTCAGTTTATAGCTACTTCTGAAGAGTTTTTCCATGACAATATAGAAACAGTCATGTGATTTCCCTTTTTAAAGCCAAATCTTGCTGGTCTTAGTCTACAGTATCTCCACAACAGAATTGTACCATGCAACTCCAACCAGAATAATATCTTATTCTTTAAAATCACCCTTGCTACTTAGCGTTTGAGACAGCGGAGTTTATCTGAATTCACAGCAGTCACTGCACTTCCAGTATGATTTGGCTAATCTTGAGTATGTTGCTCACACTGGCACCTTTAGCTGCAGACCTCCAAAAGGACACCCCTGTCCCTGGTCCACCCCACCATGCTGAGTAGCCCATCTTGCATGGGCCATGGGGAGCTGGGACCAAACAGCATGGACTCAGGCAGCAGCAGGACGGCTCCCAGAAATAGATCTTGGACCGGAGTGACGATAAGGTTGGCGATTCCCTGGGAAGATAACACAAATGCAAATGCTGGAGGCTACTTCTGAGACTCTTCATCTTGCTTTGTGGGCTAATCCTGAATTTCCTTCCCCCTTGCTGGAGAGAGTAGAAACGTGTTAAGTTTTCGAACCTAAGCATAAGCATGCTGGAGCTGGAGAGTGTCTGAAGAATGCCTAGGGATGCTGTGACGTAAAGATCACAGCTGGAGATCTATTGCAGGCAAAGAACCAGATGGGGGTGAAGTCTTCTGGCTGGGGCAATTACTGTAGCTTGACTTGTCACATCACAAGAGAGAGGTCCTTCTGCAAGACAGTAAACTCCATACTTCGACCTGTCAGTGCTGGAGCTCCATGCAATGCAGAATGATCCCATACCATTTACCTGACTGTTTCCTCATCTGTGAAAGCATGGCAAGGATACTGGTTCCCAGTGCACCTGGGAAGTGTCACAGATCCTGCCCCATACTTTCACCTTTGCTATATCTCATGCCACTGCTGCTCTCACTAACAGCAAGGATCCCTGAGAGTTCACGCAGCCTCTATAAGCAAGCAAATACAATGGCACACCAAAAAAGGAAAGGAAAAAAAAAGGCACACAGACACCTGCTGTGAGTTTATTTTGACAAGTGTCATTTAGATGCAATAAGCTGTGATCAACTCTCTGGCATGGCTGCAAACAGAAAGGAGCCAACTGGGTAAACAAACCCAGGTGCTCGGGAGCAGAGTGCGGCTTCTTCCGCTGGGTTGGGGGGCTGGCGGAGAGAGGGAGGAGTGGGGAGCTTTTAGGATGCAGTTCACCGTGGGCTGTCTTTCCCCTCTCCGCCAAGCCTGGAGGTACAGGAGGAACCAGCAGCGTTCCCACGGCGGGCGTGTTGCTGTGCCTGGCTGCGGCGCTCTGTGGGATGCTCTAGAGAGGAGGGGATGCAGAGGAGGGGGATGCGCGCTGTGTGTGGGACCACAGGAGAGGAGAGGGAGGCGTGTGCCTGCCTGGAAGGGGACATTTCTTCCCTTATACACTCAAGCTGATGCCTACCCTGCTGAAGCAGTTAAATGGGGGAGAGCAGCAGCCAGGCTGGCAGATTCCTGCCCTGTGATATGCCAGCCACAGGGTGACGCAAAGGCTGGAAGGGTCCACCCACCAAGC